GGAAGCGATATGGAGCCCCAGCTGTTTTCCAATGCCTTCACAAAACGCTTCCCTCTGCACCAGCCTTCCCCTCCCGACGTGACCTCAGCCCAATGTAGGTTTTCTCCTGCTGTAACAGAGCTCTCCTCCCAGCTCCTGTTCCCTCTACTGATGCCACATTTTCTATGGGATTGTCAGGACTGGTGGTTTTCGGGTTACAAATAGAACCCAGATCTGAAAATGTATATTTGAGAATGTGGTTAAGACATAGTAATCCTTTTTTTTTTTTTTTAAAGATTTTATTTATTTATTTGAGAGAGAGCAGGAGAGAGGAAGATGACAAGCAGGGTGGGGCAGAGGAAGAAGCAGACTCCCTGCTGAGCGGGGAACCCAACACAGGGCTTGATCCCAGGACCCCGAAATCATGACCTGAGCCGAAGGCAGACACTTTAACTGACTGAGGCATCCAGGTGCCTCAAGACACAGAAATTCATTTTATTGTGGTAAGAACACTTAACATGAGACCCGCTCTTTCAACAAATTTTGGGGTGTACATTATTGTTGACCAAAGGTAGAATATTGGAGAGCGGGTCTCGAGAGATTTTTCATCTCCCTTGACTGAAACTTGATGGCTTGTTGATTAGGAACTCCCCATTTCTCCTCTCCCTAAGCTCCTGGAAACCATTTCAATTGCCTGAATTTGACCACGTTAGACACCTCATGGAAAGTGGAGTATTTGTCCGAAGTATTTGTCCTTCCGTGACTGGCTTATGTCACTCAGCATAACGTCCTCAAGGCTCATTCCCTGTCAGAGTCTGCAGGATTTCCTTCTTTTAAAGGAGACTAGCATTCCACTATTGTATAAACCACATTTTCTTTGTCCATTCATTCATGGGTGGATAGTTAAGTTGTTTCCACACCTTGACCATTGTGAATAGTGCTGTAGTGAACATAGGAGTGCTAATATCTCTTTGAGATTCGGATTTCCATTCTTTCGGATAAATACGCATAAATGAGATTGCTGGGTCAAATGGTTGTCTTTTCTAAAGATTTTCAAGGAACCTCCATTCTCTGTTCCATTGCAACTGCACCATTTTGCATCCCCACCAACAGCGTGCAAGGGCTCCAATTTCTCTACATCCTAGCCAACGTTTATTATCTTTTGTTTTTTGTAGTAGCCATCTTGACAGGTGTGGGGTGATCTCTCATTGTGATTTTGATTTCCATGATAACTTCTGTGTGCCCCCAAAAGAAAGAATCATTGAGAGAAATATCTTGAGCAATGCCTATTTGCAATAAAGAAATTCATCCCCCAAACAGTAAGACAGAGACATTTCACATTCACCAAATGATTTTCCATTTAGCAAGCGTCTAATGAATTGCCTTAGAACTTTTACAGAAACCACTGGAAAACACATATGCAAACACTAAGAATACAGTATTTAAAGGGATGCTCTTTGCTATGTGCATTTCAAAAGCAATGCATTGAACGTCCAAGTCCTTATCATGGTGGAATAGAGATCACGTGACCCTCTATCTTAGGCAGGGCTTGATGCTGGTGGAATACCAAACTATTCCTGGGAAGTTTCTCCCTGCTGACTTGCAAACGTCAGTATGCACAACATTTGTGCAGTAAGCCAAGAGACAGATTTCTGCAGCGTGAGGCCTTCCTTATCACACCTGGGCCACGAGGTGAACATGTATTTATTGGGAGACTTTCAAATAGACACTTCTCAGTTCTCTGAATCATGTTAAGATTCTCTTTTCCTTAAATAAAGTGGTGTCTAAATAGATGCCTCTGAAGAAAATTATCTACTCCAGGAACTGTCTATGTCTCCTTGCTTAGGTTTTTTTTAAGACATGTCCTGTGTGGGTCCCACACCTGCCGTGCCGGGTAATGAACAGAGGCTACAGCAATGTCCTAGAATAGGAACTGTGCATGTGTGGCAATGCATGCCTTGACCAGAGTAACACATGGGCAGGGAGGTCTCAATGCCTTTCTGAAAGTAAGGCCTATTTTACCTTGTAAGGACAGCATCTCCCCTTGCCTTGGTGGAGGCGTTCTGCGTGTGGACAGTGGGTGAGGCTGTTCAGCTTCAAGTCTTAGTTCGGACCCCTCCTGGCTCTGGAGCCTGAACAAGGCCATTCCGTTTTGTGTACTCAGTTTAAACCTCCGAAAAATAGAGATGGCGCCCACACCTGCTGCCCCAGGCTGTCGGAGGACCAATGATGATTAGGCTCACAGGACAGGGCTCACCCCTATATATGCTGCTTTGGTGCTGTGAAAATTCCCAAGAGAATAAACAAGGAGAAATGACTGAGAAGTAAGAACAGCACACCTGGGGCCCCTGTGCCTTGATTACCTGCTTGAGTCCAGCATGTTGGAGGCCTGTGGTGGGACCCTCTCCCTTCTTTGGGGCTGCCGTTCCCCTAGAGTTTTTACAAAAACTATTTGAAATGATCAAGAACACGGTTCCATTCTATCTTCCTCTGAAGCTAAAACAGAATGCAATGTTCTGAAGGTGCAGCTTTTGAAGATCAGGTCTGAGGGGCTCACGTGGCTGTTTTTTTACAATGGAAGCTGGATGGATGAATATAGGAGTGCTAATATCCCTTTGAGAAAGAGAAAGCTTCCCTGTCTTGCAGGAGAAGAGAGGATTTAAGGTGCCTGGTATATAGCAGGCACTCAATTAAAGTGGTCTAAACAGATGAGCAAATGAGTGAACCTGCAGTGCTCACCTAGACTTTATTGTTGTAGCTGGAATCACCTTCATCCGCTGAGCAACATCTAAAGCCTTTTCCCGAAAGAACCAAATCTTTTAGACTCTGTCCTCTAGTCCCTAGTAACTCCTCTCCTTGAGGCAAATAGAGCAAAACACACAGCTGATGGAATCCACTCAACTGATGGAATTTTCCAAAGGGATAGGAAACTAAGTCTCAAGTGAAGACATTCCATGTTGTGATATTAGGATGGGGCTTCTAGAGATAAGTGTTTGAAGCCAGGAAAAGTAGCATCAGCAGGAAATAATGCATGTGTAGGCAGCATTGGAAATATAGAGAATCCGCACCATGGGAACTCAGACTGTTTTTGTTTTTAAATTTCCTTCATGTTAGCACAGCTGTGAGGATGCCATTAAGCAGGACCATGTATTTCCAGGCCTGTGGTAGGGCCCTAGTCGTCTGACCCTGACCATGATCTTTACCCATAGATGTACCTGCTCTTTCTTCACCATCAGCCCTAAGCTCCCTCCATCAGCACCAGGCATGTGTGCAAGTGATGCTGGGAAGAAACTTTGATTTTTCAGAGTTCTAAAGATGCTGAATGAACTCTTCCCAGGGCATTGCCCCTCAGTCTGCCCTTTCTGTCCACACCTCTGCCATGCCTTTGGCTCTTGAATGAACTTCTCCATCCCACCCCAGCCCTGTCCCACCCGGAGAGTGCCCTTCTGCCTCAGATGGTTTTGACCTTCTGAGACTTGAAGGTCAGGTCCATGCCAGGCCTGTAGTTCCATGATTCCACAAGTTGGCTACAGAGCTCCAAATAGTGAGGTGTGGAGAAGTTGAAGAAAAGCTCATTGGAGTGGAACCCACAACCTCAAGGCCTTAGACATGGGAGGGAAATCCGACAACCAGTGAAGATTTGGAGATTCCCAAGAGCACGAAAACCCTGTGTTGGGTAGAACCCGAGAGGCAATTGCTAGAAATCCACCTTAGAAGATATAACCCAATTCTCAGGATCCCTCAACTACAGTGATCTTGAGTTAATGATTTGTGGGTTCACCTTCAAAAAGGCATCGACATATTTTTCTGTTTCCTGGTTAAGCCGGATTTTCCATTTGGGGTTTCCCCATTAGATGTTTTACCATATCCTATAACCTTCAAATCTCACTGACTATATATATTTCCAGAAAAAAAGGCAGGTTTGTCTTGATCCAAATGACCGTGGCTGCCTTAGTAACAGTAGCTCTGTAAACGGTTACCTGGGCCCAGCTGCTGGGCCCTTTCTGCATCCTCAGAGCTGGCTTCACACCCCATCCCAGCCTCAGGGCTGCTCAGTGCTCTCTCCCACCGCCTCCCAGGGTACCAGGCCTGCCTCCGTCTCTGCCCTACCTGCCTGTGCCTCCGCTGGGGACACGGTGAACCTTCAAAGCTCCACATCGAAAGATCGGCGGTAGGGATTTGAAACTGGACACCAGGATTTCATTCTGAGGTTTGGAAGTGGACTGTCATTCTAGGATAAGCCTGGCAGAGTGCCTTCTGAGCGGGTGTCGCCTCCGAGCATCTGCGTACACAGCCCGCTGAGAGTCGCAGAGAGAGGACAACGGCAGCGTGCTCTTCCCTGCAAGTGTTTCCAAACAGCTGTCACCAGGGGAGTTGTGACAATGACAGTTTCAGAAGGACTTGGCTTAAGAAACAGAAGCCAGGTGGCAGCTCTGCTTCCCCCATGCCTGGCCTGTCTTTCAACTGAGCATGGCCACCGTATTAGCCCAGCTCCGGCTGCGGTGACAAAAGACCACAGCCTGGGGGGCTTACCCGACAGGAATGTATTAATCCATTTCTCACAGGTATGGAGGCTGGAAGTCCAAGACCAAGGTGCTGGCAGGGCTGGGGTCCGGGGAGAGCGCCCTCCGTGGGCTGTGGATGGCCACCTTCTCTGTATATCCTCAGAGGAGACAGAGAGGGAGAGGCCTCTGGTCTCTTCTGCTTCTTGTAAGGACACTAATCCCATCATGGGGGCCCTCACCCTTATGACTTCATGGGGACCCTGATCGCCTCCCAAAGGCCCCACTTCCAAATACCATTACATTGGGTGTCAGGCCTTGAAGAAAGGAGTTTTGGGAGGACACGGTCATTCAGCCCAGAGCAGATACTGTATTTGCCCTTTGATGCTTCTCTTCTCTCCTCCTTCATCAGCCTCCCTACCTTGCCCTTCTTTGGTTCTCTCTGTGTATTCAAGAAGACTGCGAGGCGGGCTTCTCAGTGGCAGCAATAATGGGAGGATTTATCTTCTTCCCCTTCAGGAACTCCCCGGATGAATGCAGCATGGCAAAAGGCGGGAAGATGGTGGGCAGCCCAGACACTGTGGGCATGAATTATGGCAGCTACATGGAGGAGAAGCACATGCCGCCCCCAAACATGACCACGAACGAACGCAGAGTCATCGTCCCGGCAGGTCAGATGCTCATACTTTGCTCAGTCTGCAAACCGTGCTTTTCCAGAGCACCATTCCACTTTCTCTTCCTGCTTCTGGCTTCCATCACCCTCACTGATCTAGAGGAACTATTGTACATGGAGGCCAGCAGGAGTCTGGCCACCTTTGGTGAAATGTCCACCAATCAGTGGGTGTGTGTATGTGTGAGACAGAGAGAGAGAGAGAAAGAGAGAGAATGGAAATCCATGAAGTGACCTCTCAAGGGAAAAGTTGCCCTTTCCCTGAGATTATTTGGTGTTAGGTATTTTTTTTTTTTAATGAAATGTTACTCATACTAGATGGTAGGCTTTCGAAAAAAAAAAATCTTATCTGGCAAAATAAAAAGCTGGGAGCTGTGTATTGCTTGTTCTCAAAGTCAAAAATTCCAGCTATCCCTGGCCTACAATACAGATTCCGAGAACCAGAGTAATTCTTTGCCACAGAAGTAATTCTAAACTCAAACCAAAGCAATAGCTGTGAATTTGAGGAAAATGCCAGGAACTAACTTGTTGAGCAAAACTGAAGGGACTAGGAGAGGTGACTTACACACAGCTCCTCAGAGAAAACGTGGTGCATAAAACCCAAAATACCAGGGCCACAGTGATGATTTCGTGAGTCCTTAGTCAATGTCAGGGTTTTTGGTGAGCAGTTTGGAGACACCATCTCAGGAAATCTTGAGAAATAGGAATCCTTATCACGATTTCTCGGATGAGGAAAATGGAGCTCCCAGAGGTCAACTAACTTTTCCTCGGGCCTACAATTAATAAGAGGCTGAGTTAGAGTTCAGATAGGCCTTCCTGCCCCTTCGTTCTCTTCCTGGAGGTGCTGGGTTCAGTCTCGGCTCCTGACACAGCCCCTGTGGGCTCTCCTCTGTCACTCCTTGAGGCCGGCCATCTGGTCGCCCTGTGGCTCTGCCTCAGGGGCCTGGACTTACTGTCACTTCAGCCTGAAACCCTTGATTCCAGGTAGCTCTGTCCTTCATCAGGGCTCAGTGCAAATGTCTCTTCAGAGAGGCCTTTCCTGAGGGCCCCCCACTTAGAGCCATTCCCGACTCCACCCACGGACCTCAGCCCCCGCCTGCCTTATTTGTCTTTACGGTGTTCACTCCTGTCTGTCATTATACTGCACATTCATGTGACCATTTGCTTATCAGCTTCCTCCCTCCATACAGCCTCAGCCCCCCAAAGGCCCAACCTCTGTGGCCAAGCACAGTGCCTGGCATACACTAGGTGCTCAAGGAACATTAACTGAGGGGAGAATGGATGAAAGAGTACCTGTGTGTGGGTGAGGTTTGCACAAACTTGATTCAGCCTTGCTCCAGCGGTCACCTAAATTCCTCTCTGTGAAGTGTGATGGTAAATGGGCTCCAGTCCCCTCCGTGGTGTGATTCCGATCCCACTGTCCCTTAGTCTGTGTATGATCCCCATCCTACGGCCCCTTAGTCTGTGTAAATCACTTTCATGGACTTCTGTCGCCTTCCACATAGACGGCGAAGCACAGAGGACCTGGCTGAACATCCAGCTTGGGCTTGTGGACTGAGCTTCACTTCAGGATTGTCACTGGCGGGGTGGGTGGTGGGGTGGTGGTGGCTTTCAGCAAACTGCATGAAGCTGCTTTGGTGTGGTTGATATGAAAGGCATTATCTTTCGTGGCCATCCCTCATCTTGAGGCATCTTGTGAGACTTTTACTGGAGACAGTGGAGGTGGAGTCTCATGTGTACCTGATGACAGGAACAAAACTCTTTTTGATGTTGATTGAACAGCAGTTGACTTTTATACGGAAGCCCTGTATTTGGTTTGATCACGGGAGCTGAGCTACTTACCAGAAACCCATGACTCGCTCCTGAGCTGGAGAACAGAAGGGGGGTTCCTGCTGATGGGGAAAAATACGGAAATGCAAGTGTCCAAGGTAGGCAACCTAAAAGAGGTTGAGAGCAAGGGTGTTCCTGGGGAGAAATGGAGGGCAGGGATACTGTTGCCTCAGATGCTGTCTGGATATGAACAGAATGAGGTAGGAACCCAAAGTGCGCCCACCCACACCTATCTCTCCCTTAGCCTTGTTTCTTAAGAGTGTCATTTCTTCAGTTCAGGCAAACAAAGTTTTTCATTCTCTAAGATGGGAGAACCATTCCGAGGAGAGATTCTTGTCTTGGTTCTTCATAGAATCACAGACCCAAGAGGTAATGTGTGGTGCCATTCACCCTGTTTACTGCTGGGGTCATATTTCTCTCTTGGAGTCAATGTGCTTTGAAGTCATCAGTATCATTTCCAACAGGGACAGAACTGAGGCTTTCTACCTTAAAGGAAATGTTGAGAAAACAGGAGAGATATTTATATGGGGAAGAGGCAAAGAACCAATTTAATTGAATCAGAGCATCCACCATTCCTGATATTGTATAGTAGGTGCTCATTAAATGTCAGTTGGATGGGTGGAATGATGGTCATGCAGATTGGCTCATATTTAAGGTTTTGTGTAAAGATTGGTTTCATCCCCTGAAGAAAGTCCTCTTTCAGCTGTTCCCTCCTTTGGTTGCTTCACACCAATGCAGGCAGTTATTCAGTTAATAGTGTTTGTAAGAGAGCTAGTTGTGGCTGATTTTGCAAGTTGTGAGTCTTTCAGTTATTGGCCAAGCTTCATGTATGTGTGCTCATACACAGACACACAGATGAACACACCCACCACACACCCACACCCACCCACCACCCACACATCCACCCCCCCACACCCAACCACTCACCTCCACAACCCACCCCCCTGCACACACACATACAGCTGCATTGCACAATCCAGATAATTCCTCAATGTGGCCATGAGATTGCAGACCCTGGGGGCAGCTCTGTCAGCTGCTGCATCCGTATCTTCAGCCCTAGCTCCAGGACCCAGGACCCAGGCACCTCATGCAGGCACATCTTGGCCATAGAGTGCTCTGCACACATAGATGGAATTCTCCAAACCTAGTTCCACCTGGCACATAGAGTTCCTAGTAGTTAAACACATGAATGACACTCAGAAGTGCAAATCATAAAGATAGCTGAAAAAATTATTTATTTCTAAACATTGGCTTTTAAAACTCAAACTTTTAAATCTTGCACAGTTGCAAAAGGTGGGTGTCATTTGGTTCCAAGGTGTCAGCAGGCAGTGGAAGGGGATGCCTCAATTAGTACGTGATTAAGTGTTCATAGGATAAAAAGGAAAGTGATATGGGAAGGATGGCCCAGCTGTTCATTCTGAGTCTAGAGAAAAATGTATTCCTAGGTTTGTCATAGGAGAGGAGCAGGGAAGTCATGAGAAAAACACTCAATCAGCGAGACCAGCAGACATTCCTGAAAGCCCTGGCTTATACCTGGTGTCCTGGAAAAATTGTAGATTGTGTCTCTCCCTCTCAAAGTACACCAGTTAGACAATAAATCACATTGGTACTTTTTTTATCAACCTGTCTGTCTATTTGGTGTACATCTGTATGTCTAAGTCTACATCTCATGGGGTTGGGCTCTTCCTGACATGGTTGTAGATCATTCAGTGTAGGTCATTCAGTGCAATTAGTCTTACGAGGAGCTAGACATGTGTGGCCTGGTGAAATGGCACTTTGTTGGTTGGCTCAGCTGGATTTGGACGTCAACTGGAAAATGTTTCTTCAAGTACGATCAAAACCACTTGCGTCAGGATTCCCTGGGAGACTTGTGATTTGAAAATGCACATTTCCAAGTTTCCTGGAATCTGGATGTGGGGAGGCTCGAGGATTACACATTGTTGATGCACTTTCTGGGTGATTTCATGCATAATACAGTTTGAGAAGCTTTAATCTAAATAGAAGACACCGAATAAATTTTACTTAAATACACATTAACGGTTTTCAATAAAGGCAAGCTAGGTTACTTTTAGAAGAAGGAGTGGCCAGGAAGATAGGAAATAACCAACAATTTCACATTGATGTTCTAAACAGTTTAAAAAATGAAGAGTCACCCATTTGGTGGAAAGGAATTTTGTCTTCCTAATGCTTCTCCCTTAGGATGTATGTTTGGGACCTATCGTTGGTGGCACGCTAATGTAGCATTGTGTGACAAATATACTCAAATAAAAAATAAAAATAAAATAAAATCAATAAAATAAAATAAAATAAAATAAAATAAAATCTGCAAAGGCCATGTGTCAAGGCATCCACAGGAAAACCCAGGATGGTTAAAGGTACAGAATATGGTGTGAGATGGATCCCTGGGCTCCATTCTGACAAGCTGGACCAAGCACAGTATGAGGTCTGTAGGCATTGGGCTTCATTCCTATCAACAGCAAAGACGACTCGGGCACAATGTAGGCATCTGACTTCCATGTGTTCCCACGTCTGCCTCGCCAAGTCTGTGAACATAGATCACCGTTGAGAAACAAATGAATCTCCACTGCACCGTGGAGCTGGTAGTCTAAAGCACCTCAGTTTCAAGACATCTCATGAAGCATCTGCCATCGGGGATGCTGTCCCTCTGGGTACCAGCTGTAGCTCTGGCAGTCCCTGTAGCTTTTTCCATATTGACAATGCATTTGGCGATGTGCTAACCAACAAGGCTAACAAAGAGGAAGGCACAGTCTTCATCCACTTTTCTTTTAAAAGTTGCAAAATGCTGACCAAATGCAACAGGACATCGGGTTTTAGCAGCTTACATCATTCTGAAAGATTTTTTTTTTCCTTTTCTCTGTTTTTATTCCCTAAAATGGGTGCAAAAGCATTGGACTTTTCAAACATTTCTACATTTTTTCAAATTTAAATTCAGTTAATTAACATATAGTGTATTATTAGTTTCAGAGGTAATTGAGTGATTCCTCAGTCAAACATTTCTACTTTTATTTTCTAAATATCCGCCTTGAGCACAAGCACTCCTGGCAATCAGAAGTCTCAGAGATAAAGAGTTGTCACATTTGCGTGTTTGTTTCATTCATTCATTCACTGAGCACTTACTGTGTTTCAGTCACCATGAATAAAAGCTCTTATATGATTTAAGATCCCCTATTCTTGCCCCCCAAACACCCATGGCTGGAACTCCTGGTATTTTGTCTTCCTCAGCCCCTCCATATGAGGTCCCTTCTCCTCAACTCATGAGGTGCTCAGTGAGGACTTGCTACTCTTATGCCCGTCACA